TCCATCCATGACAGACTGTTAACTGTAAGATGAAATCAACTCTTCCCTCCCCAATTGCTTTTGGTTGTGGTGTTTATCACAGTAGCAACAATAACAACAACAAAACTAGAACATCATTCATTTGACATGTTTTTTGAAAAGTTTAAAAAACTGATTTTTTGTTTGTTTGTTTGTTTTTTAAGACAGGGTTTCTCTGTGTAGTTTTGGTGCCTGTCACTATGTAGACCAGGCTGGTCTCGAACTCACAGAGATCCACCTGCCTCTGCCTCCCGAGTGCTGGGATTAAAGGCTGTGCCACCACCACCCAGCAAAAAACGATTTTTTTCATTTTTTTAGTAATAGTTTGTAAGTGAAAAAGATATAACAATAAACATACTTCTTTCATCTAAAAAAGGTTAGCCGGGCAGTGGTGGCACACACATTTAGTCCTAGCACTCGGGGGCAGAGGCAGGTGGATCTCAGTGAGTTTGGGGCCAGCCTGGTCTGCAGAGTGAGTTCCAGGACAGCCAGGACTGTTACACAGAGGAAGAAGCTAAAGAGACAGAAAGGTGTGTCAATCAAAACACATTTTGTACCTTACAATTATACTGAGTATATATTGAAAAAATATTATAGTCTGGTAGGATGACTCAGCAGGTAAAGGGGCTTGCTTCCAAGCCTGAAGATCTGAGTTCAGTCCCCAGAACTCACCTGGTGGAAGGAAAGAGCCGATTCCTGCAAGCAATTGTCTTCCTGCTTCCACACATGCTGTGGTATGCATGCATGGGCATATGCACACACAAAATGAATAAATCTAATAAAAATTATTTTTAAAAGACTTATTTATTTTTATTTTATGTGTATGAGTGATTGTCTACACACACAAACACACACACATACACACACACACTTGCACAGGAATGCACACACATGTGCCCCACATGCATACCTGATGCAGAAAAGGGAATCACGTTCCCTGGAACTAGGTTACAGACAATTGTGATCTGCTATGTAGGTACTGGAAACTGAATCTGGGTCATCTGCAAGAACAGTATGTACTCTTAACTGCTGAGCCATCTCTCCAGCCCCATAAAAAGTTTAAAAAAAAAAAATCACAGTGGGCTGGAGAGAAGGCTCAGCAGTTAAGAGCACTGGTTGCTCTTCAAGAGGACTCAGGTTCGGGTCCTAGCACCCACATAGCAGCTCACAACTATGTGTAACTCTAGTTCCAGGGGATCAGGTGACCTCTTTCCATGGGCACTGCATACACATGGTGCACTGACATACATGGTACATAGATATACATACATGCAGGCAAAAAACCCACACAGGTTTAAAAAAAACAAAACCCACAGGGCCAGCAAGATGTCTTAGCAGGTAAAGACACTTTGACTAGAGTTCAATCCCCAGGACCCT